TGACAAGTGTGGGTTGGGAGATGCCCTATATGCATCTATCGTAGCCTGGCAGCAGCAGCAGCAGCAGCATCATCATCATCATCATCATAATAGAACAGGTCAGGTCCACGTGGACTTGTTTTGTTACTCGGCAGCATTGGGTGCCAGTTCCCAATGTACGTACAACGGTCATCGCTACCACGCAGCTAGCTCTCCATGGATACGACAGGACGAGACCGTTGATATCAGGCATTGCAAAACCACGAGACAGTTACATAGTATCCGACCATGCATTATAGGCTAAAGTGATGTGTTATCCGTCGATCATATCTTAACAATCCTTAGTGACGTATGTTTCGGCATATGATACTCGGCAATTATGACAACGCTACATGGTCAATATGGAGACCAAGCCTTTGGAATAACAAGCAGTTGACAATGATAGTCTACAGGAATGACACCGTAGTCATCGTCCTGAGACGGACATAACCAAGCCGGTATCTTCTCTAATACCAATCACAGACTCTAAAAGAACTCGAGATGAACAAATTTCAAACGAAATCTATGCCACAACTTGTCTAGATGATGAAGCAGAGTGCTGATGTCAACAATGCTTTTAACATAGAGTCGCTTGGTCGATTATAAACCGTAGATAGAAACTGATTCAAGATACTTGCCAAGCCCTTTCATGGATTGAAACTCGACTTGATAATTCACATCCAACCGTAGTCAAGACAGCAGCCTAATCTACCTGTTCACGCTATTCAAATCGACAATAAGTATGGAAGAGTGGAAGCCGTTAGCGTCAAGCTAGCGAGCTATAGCAGAATATTATCTCGGTTCGGATTTATGCAAGCAAGGGACGTCCCGATGTCAAAATTGTCCCAGGCCCAGTTTGCTTGTCCATGTCCAGCTAAGGCCCTGGTCTAAGTCTGTTGTCATTATTTCATTCGTAGCTGGAGCTTTATGAGGGCCACTTACTGTTGATTCCTCCCTACGATCCTATTTCCGTTTACGCGTCCCCCTTGATGACTTGGAAGTTAAATTACCTTGATCTCGACCACGCGGAAAGGTTCGACTGGCTCTACCGTGATCAGATGTTTTGGGGCAGTGCAGGCTTGGCCGTGGGTCAAGCTGATAGGCCAACAGCGTACGCACGCTGTCTTCCTGGATTGAGAGCAGAATGGTGTGAGATAACTTCGGGATCTGAAGGGGAAACTTAATGAGTTGCATCACACAATGGCGGTTCTGTATTTCTTTGGCCTATAATAGAGATAATAACAATGTCGTGCAACGACCACCTTGGAGTTAAGCTCACAGTATTAAAAACTAAGTACATACTCCGCACAGTGATAGTACGGGATGACGTTGCCGTTGCCAAGGGTCTTGGGCGCCTTAGGGTCTTGGATTGTCCCTGGAGAGAGAGCACTGAGCGCACTACGTAAGTACGGTAAGGTACCGTCTTTGGCGGCGGGCAGGGCAGTTGTACAAACCCCACCGGAAGGTCTATCTCTTCCATCTTCCATCCCTCTCCTCTCGCTCTTTTCAAGGCGAGGGCTTTGCAAAGCTCTAGAAAGTTTCACCACCGGAACATTGACAATCGCTAGTTATCGCTGTCGTCATAGACTTCGGCGACGCCAACTCACAACATGGCGGCATTCCTGCGCGGCAAGCAGACGGGCATGCAGAATGACCTATCAGCGAGCATCAGACCTGAACTCTTCATGCCCGACGATCAGGCTCGCTATGGCATCAACTCTCAAATTAGGTATCGCTCCGTCTCGCCCAACATGTATCAGTATCATGTATGCATGCCCCAAATTGACCCAGCTGACCATCCATTCTTTGTCGCAGCTGCTACGCTTACGACCCAGTCCAGTCCCTCCTAGCTATCGGAACTGGTGAAAGCAAGTTTGGCCCTGGTAAAGTCTACATCTTCGGTCAGCGACGTGTACACAAGATTCTCGAGCCTCCCCGACGCACATCCTTCCAGATCGTACAATTCTCCGCCAACCGCCTTGTTACCGTCGACGCGAAGAACGAGTTGGGAATATGGGACCTCGACACCGGCGAGCGCATCGCCGCTCTGGTCGTCGCTGGCCAGGTCGTCTCTTTGGTGACGGATCCTATGCTTGACTGGGCCTTTATCGGTTTGTACAATGGAGACATCATGGCCTTTGATCTGGACAGAGGAAGCCTGGCCCGTTCCTTCAGACTTCCAAACTTCTGGAAAGAGAAGAACCCTGGTGCCACAACTCCGAACCTCATAACCATGTCTCTTCACCCCCGAGACGTCGGTAAGCTCCTCTTGGGATACACCCACGGCGCTGTTGTCTACTCGTTCAAACAAGCCAAACCTGTCAACTACTATGAGTATGTTGTTCCAGCAGGCGCTCCGGGAGGCAACGGTGCAGCTGTTGAGACGGTTCGAAAGCCTCGACTTACACATGCACTCTGGCACCCCTCTGGTACATTCATCCTGACAGCTCATGATGATGGAAGCTTGGTGTTCTGGGATCCAAAAGCCGAGAAGATTGTGATGGCGAGAACCCTGACGGACTTCAACGTCGACCAACCCTCGCCTGAAACTCCTACACCTGCTTTACCTGAGCCCATCACTAAGATCGCTTGGTGTTGCAAAGAGAATTGCGACGATAGTGGCCTTCTCATTGCAGGCGGACAACGCCCAGACGCATCGCCAAAGGGCTTGACATTCATTGACCTGAGCCAGACGCCAGTCTACGCGACCTCGACCTGGCAAATATTGGCTAATTACTGCAGGGGAAAACGCCAGAATGTTCTTCCTCTTCCTTCTGGTGCGCAAGCGATTAACTTCCTCCTCATTCCACGATTTTCTCCTCACTTTGCTGGCGCTCAAGACCCGATCGCTGTCATGGTTCTCCTCTCATCTGGTGAACTCATCACGCTGAGTTTCCCCTCTGGCTACCCGATCAGTCCTACCAACCAGCTCCACCCCTCCGTTTCTTTTGTTCATCCATTTGTGACAAAAGTCAATGTGTCATCTCTCGAACGTCCACGCTGGCTCTCCATGTTCGAGAAGCGCAATCAAGGCGAGCCGCTGCTCAAAGGAGGAGCCGAGGCGTCGCGGCCTCGGAAAAGATTTGAAGAGAGAACCATAATCCAAGCCGCTCATGCCGATAGTACAATCAGGATCTGGGACTCGGGCCATGCTGATGAAATTGAAAATGGAACCCAGCTCCAAGTCGATGTTGCTCGAGCTCTGGACCGATACGATGATGTAGAGATTACCTGTATGAACATGGCGACTAGCACCGGAGAATTCGTCGTAGGAACACGCACGGGAGAGGCCATCATTTATCGATGGGGTCAGAATCGCTTTTTCGGCAAAGATAAAGCTCTCCAGCTTGACCCCAATCCCAAGGGCCTCACGGACATTAGCTCGAGAGCAGAACCAGGCCTCAAGGAGGGCCTGCAGCCTCTCGTTCTCTACGAGATGATGATGGGCCCCATCACAGCTATACAGGTGTCCAATGTTGGATTCGTAGCCGTAGGCTCAGAACTTGGGTTCCTTACACTGATTGATCTTCGCGGACCTACTATCTTCTTCCAAGCTCCCATGACGGATTTCGCCAAGCCAGATAAGCGATCTTCATTCCTGAAGAGCCACAGTTCTTCGCCGGGCCCCCAGAAAGAGTGGCCTGTCGTAATTGAGTTTGGTGTCATGACCTTGGACGAGGACAAATACTCGAGCATTTGCTGTTTCGTGGGAACGAACCTAGGCAAAGTCATCACCTTTAAACTTCTGCCTGGCCAAGACGGCACATACTCTGCGTCGCTCGCAGGAGTTGTATCGTTTGATGGGAAGATCATTTCACTCAACCCCATCGAAGCTGACACGGGCAAGCCTGCCCATGCTACTGGACCGATCGTGGCAGGCCTCAGAGAAGGACGTCAGGTCAATGGCGTACTTGTTGCTGGTAAGTGGCGCATGGTTTTGGCTCAAATTGACCCAACTAACAAGGACGATAGTCACGCAAACAGAAATCCGAATCTTCAAGCCAGCCAACTCTAAAGGCGCGTCAAAAGAGTTCGATAGCATACTGTGTGATTCTGCATGTGTAGCAGAGCTCGAGTTACAGGGATTTGCTGTCGTTGGTGTGTTTGGTGACCGAACTGCTCGTGCATTCTCAATCCCGGGTCTCAGAGACATCGGAAAGGCCGATCTTCCCATGATAGATGTGACGAGGAGTACAAACTCAGTCGTTACTCAGACTGGTGACGTCTTTGCTTGGACAGGGCCAAGTGAGCTTGCCGTGATCCACGTCTGGGGAACGGGTAAAGGACCTCAACAGTCTCCAGACACGCTGATTAACCCCAAGCTTGAGTGCCCACCTCGGCCGACTATTTCAAACATGCAGTGGATCTCGGGCAGCCAATACATCTCCCCTACCGATCTTGATCTGCTGGTAGGAGGCCCAGATAGGCCTCCCAGCAAGCGAATGATGGACGCAGCGGCAGCAGAGCAACGGGCTGCTCGGGCTGGAGAGTCAGCCGCTGCATCAGGATCGGGCAGCCAGGAAGGTTGGGGAGACTACCTGACAAGGCAACTGAACGAAAGGACCGAGAAGTTGAACATGATGGGTGACAATATGGAGAACCTGCAGAACAACAGCGCTGGATGGGCAGATGATGTAAACAAGTTCCTCAATAAGCAAAAGAGGAATGTCGTTATGGGTGGCCTTAAGAGCAAGTTCTTTTAATGCAGAATCGAAAATATCCGAGAGTTATGATGGCGGACAGGCAACCAGGTTAGTTATTTTTACAATGAGGTAACAAGGCAGAGTCCTGGTCAATTTACGAGTGCAGATAGGCATTTTCTCCAACATGTCGACGGAGAGTCACGCTTGAAGCCACGAGTTTGAACTGAAGAGTGAAAGGAGTGTAGGGCTTTATCTTGATTGAGTTACTACTACCACATTGATCATCTCGCAACTGAAATCTGGGTGTCACTTGAGGGCGCATCATGAATCGCAGTCTTCTCACTGACCACTTCCTTGGAAGGAATAGCGAGGAATCTGGGGTGGCCTATCGGACACGCGATTAGAGCCATCTTGTTCAGCACGGATTTCCGCCACCATTCTCTCTGTTCGAGCAGTGAAGGTCTGGTCATTAGAGCTATAGTAACCATCATTTGAGGGTGCACTCTCGGAGAAGCCTTCATATTCGCTTGAGGCCGTGGAACTTACCGGCGAGACTGGCTCTACCTGTCTAAGCGGTGAGTTGCCAGGCTTCTGCCAATTTGCTGGAGGCACTATCTGAAGATGCTTCGCTGACTCCTTAGCTAATGAACTGGCTCGAGTAGAGCTATGATGATTACCACTGGGTTCGACAGAATGCCTTTGCAACTGCTCCAGGGCTTTAGACAGACTAATATTCTCTGTTTGATATTTCCCAGCCCTGTGCTGCGATTCAAGTGCTTCGGCCTGCGCAGTCTGTACTATGGCTTGATATTTCAAAGCATTGCGTTGGGCGGATTGGAGCTTTCTTTTACGCTGCCTCGCTATTAAACACAGCGAAATAGAGGCTACACTCATTATTGCCAAATTCGCAGCCAAAATCACGGCAGCCAGATATGAACCTTTTGGATCACCGTAAACAATGTTGGGCGAGCAAGATTCGAGCTCTCTGAGCTCAACGACCGGAACAGGAGCCATCTTCAAGACTACCTTGCGAGATGCTATAGGCTGAAAGTGGCAGTATTTAATCTGAAGAGGTTACTTACCTCGAGCACAAAGAGGGCCTGCAAGTGGTGGCGTTTTAGTGTTGCTGGAGAGAATCTGCTGCCTTTCAGTCCTTTCAGAGCTTGTGTTGGTAAGACAGCAAGGTATTCAGGGAAGCTACCTCGATTTATAATATAGTGGTGGAAAAGGTCATATTTATCTTCAAGACTGAACATTGGTATAAATCAGAGGCGAAAGAATATAAGGACTATTGGTCTGTGTGATCGAACAATAACTTTTTTTTGTCGAAGCCAAGGGACGCTCTAAGGGCTGTGAACATTCCCACATCATGTTCTCGAAATCGATAACATGCTGCAGGGACATAGACCAAGGTCGGTCATTGGAGGCTGTGACTTTATATTGAACATAAGTGTTGTTGACAGAACAACCAGATGTATGGCATCAAAGCCCTTGATCTTCTTTGAATTTCGCGAACTGCACATCCGACAATATTGACAAACGATAGAACAAAGTCAAGCAATGCATTCAGAATGATATTTTATGACGAATCGACTTTCGCTGTACTGGGAGATGTTAGGCTTCCTTGGGGCTCAAGGAGTAAGTAGTTTCTTTGACCTCCGCTAAATTATCTGTCGCAATAGCAAGACAATGGGGCTCGAGAAAACATGCTCTGGGTTGTCGCACACCGCCTGCCTATAGAGACAGATGGGATATTCGGCCATGAAGCTACTGCAGGTAAATCGTAGTTGGGTTCGTTGAAAGATGCCTCGTAGCTGAAATGACAGAATATATCCTAATACACGTATTCAAAGTTCGGGTTTTCCTTATCCGTCATATCCATGAACGCAGTAGTGTTGGCAGCAAAATCATGGCCTGCTGCTCGTAAAGCTTCACGATGCTGCTCTTTGCGTCTGTTCTCCCACTTGAAGGCATATCTAAAGACGAAAAACAGGGCGAACTCGATGCAGTTGGCCACAAGAAGTGATCCGATACCAAGGTGGTAGGAGGGTGCCTGTTCGGGACGATAGAAAAAGGGGCTGGCAATGTTGCCAACACAGGCACCAAACCAAATCATACCAGAAACAATCATCTTTTTGGACTGGCCTCCGGTGTTTGAAGTGATGAGAGAGAGGCATATGACAAATGATGCCTGATATGAGCCAGTGAGGTAGCTTCACAAAGTTAGAGGACAGCATGTTGAGCAGGATCCAATGCACTTACAAGCAGATCAAACGGCCAACGTAAGCATCTTCTGGTGCCAGAAGAAAGCCGAGCGCTCCGGCTATAGTTGGTATCATGAAGATGGCGCTGACCAGAGTTCGGCTATTGGGAGGCATATACTTGTTGGCCAGAGCACCAAGTCCGATCCAGATGACCACGAGGGCGCCCTGAGGAATGCCCAGCAGGGCCGTATGCAGCGTATCAAACCCAAGACCCTGGATGACTAGCGTGGAGAAGTTTGAAATTCCGCCGTTGGGGACATTAGAAACGAATCCAAGCAAAGTGAATAGCCATGTCTTGTAGTCGAGGTAGGCTTCTTTGATTTGAGCCCAGTTGATTCTTCGCTGTTCGATGCCAGTTTGGTTGCGTCGCATTCGAGCAATCATGATGAGCTTCTCATCGTGAGAGAAACCTCGAATGGTGCGAGGAGAATTGGGTAGTAGCAGAACGAGAGCGATGGCCCAAGCAGAGCAAAAAGCGCCAACTACAAGGAACTCGTAACGCCACGACTGAAGCGCTCCTTTGATATTACCAATTGCATAGCCTGTCAAAGAGGTGTTAAGTATAACTTGAGAGAAAGTAGACCGAAGAACTAACCAATCAGACCTCCGCCAGCAACACCTATACCGTTGAAAGCATACCAAGCTGATATACGACTTGGTTGCTCTTCACGCGTGAAGTACATGGAAGTAATGAGCATGAAAGCCGGGTCTGCGATGGCTTCAAATGCACCGGACAGGATTCTAAGAGCGAGAAGACCAGCAAAATTCTTTGCAGCGGCCTGTGTCATGAGGAGAGCACCCCACATGAAAATGTTGAACGCCAGGTAGTAACCAGGAGGGCTGCGTTGCATCAGGAGGTTCGAGGGAATAGCCCAGATGAGCCAGCCAAAATAGAAGCTGCTAGAGAGCCAAGAGTATTCGTCACCTTTAAGCTTGAGATCATCCTTGAGACCAAAGATGGCAGCATAGGAACTAGATAGGTATGGTTGGTTAGATATCGTGGTCTTTCGGGTGCTGTGTAGGTTAGACATACAGTGTTGTTTTGTCAACATAGTAAAAAAAGTAGCAAACTCCCAGAACAGGTATTATGAGTCGGTCGAGTTTCCTTCTGACTTTCTTCTCCAGAATTGGGTCGATTGAATCATCAGTAGGATATTGTGCAAGAGCTTCGGCGTATATCCCGTCCCCCTGCGGTTTGTCGACATTACCAACTTGGACACTGTCAATCCTGCTGATTCTATCGTCCGCTTGTTCCATCTCTTGAGCCTGGGCCTGTTCGAGTTCGCCTTTTGTGGCGTTGACATCGGCCATTTTGATGGCGGGGAGTGTTTGACTTGCACGAACTGCAGAAGGGGGGAGGGCGATATCGGCTTTTATAGCCCGAAGACGTCGGCCGATAAAGATCTGGTCCGTTGCTTTTAAGATGGGGCGCCCTGCAGGAGTAGATCGATGGAGCGAAACACCTTCAATTCACTTGTAAGATGGATTCAAAGACGGAACAACGACTAGCCCACATATAGGGCGAGACTTGATATATATATGCTTGGTGATTTTGATGGGGTACTAGGCGTTGTAATAGTTGTCGATCTTATTCCAGCCCGTTATTCTTCCCAGGCAATGTGATCGTGGTGATAATATTGAACATACCGACACGGGAATAAGACCGAGCGCGGACCCAGATCCGATTTTTCGGCACCTGATCAGACTCCCGATGCATTGAATGGTTCTAACGTTTCCAGTTTTGAGTCAGTTCCTCCCCAATAATAACGGCTTTTCATTGATGGATTAACTAGATCCCAAGATCCTTCCAGTAAAATACGCCTCTCAGAACATTAATCCACAATCTGGGGGATTGTCGGTAGATGAGGAGAAAACTGTGGGGAAGTTTGGGGTAAGCTCAATATCAGGATGACGAACCTTGCTAGGGGAGGAAAGAAAACCCAGGACCTTGACCCTAAGTGATAAAAAGACTTAGGTAAATTTGCATAAATTTTAGGTATATTTATCAAATTTAGGGTATCTTTTGCTGAGTTTATTTTGAAACCTTATATAAAGGTCTGGTATTTTCTTGCTCCCTAAAGGCCATGCAACCCGTGATGTGGCTGGAGATAGCATGGGTTTGGGGGTTGACTAGGGGTTGGGGGAAGGACAAAAGTTCAGACTACTTAAGAGTCCTCAGTGACAAAAAAGCTTAGGGTAGTTGATGATTAACTTGGCTTGCTCTTTGACCAGTTAATTCTCACCGCGATCTGAGATCGAAGGTTTGTTTTGGTGTTCGTAGCTCCGGGTTAGGTTAGGTTATCATGGCAAGATTGAAGCATAAGCTTGATGAAAGTCTATAAAATAACGCACAATAAACATTCACTGCCGTATATGTGAGAGAATTCAGTGTAATTGCAGAATACATAAAGTCAGGGTTTTGCTCATTCGCAGATGAATCAGATACTCATCACCTGAAAGATAGATAATGAGGGGACCACGGTCGAAACACCTCAATATAGCAACACCATCTGCGAGATAAGGCTAATTTGTCAAATATAATAAATTGTTCAAGCGATGGTATGACAGTAGAGCAATTGAAAGGCAACTGCAGCATGGAGAGAATTAAATGGGGAAAATAAGAAGAAGTAAAATCAGCAGAGATGGTGTAAAGAAGGGCTCTTTCTGGGTGATTGTAACAGTTTGAGACGAGGGTTTCCAACATGACAGCTATTTCAGCGACCGTCAATGAGTTCACGGCCCCTCGAACTGTGCTCCTATGCCGTATGTATCAAGCTGAGTGTCCGTGGTGTGAGCCTCTGGTGACTGACGTTGATGCGTCTGGGCTGCAGGCTCAACAACAACCTGTGACTGGAATAGGAGAACGAGGACTCGGTGGCAGATATATGCAACGCATGAAGTGACACGAAGATTCCACAGTGCTTCCATGTGCCTAAAGGTAAGGTTCGAGGAAGGATCAATTGGCGTCGTTGACCATGCTGAAAAGGGGTCGTCCCTGGATGGCTGTCGGAGATAGGCATGTAACTGGACTGAATATTGTCCCTCTATGGACCAGATCAAACCTTCCTGTGATCGGACCGAGTAATGTTGTTCGTAGCTAGCGCATCTGAACAAGATTTCTGTCAGTGCATGAACTTGATTCCAACATCATAGCCTGCGGGAGGACTAAAGGGTTCGCCAATGCAGAGTATAGGAGTCAGAACTTACTCTGACTGTACGGTATCTTCCATTATGAGACGCATTCAGAGCTTCATGCTCCAGTCAAAGAACCGAAGAATTTTGTGTCGTAGAGTTCAGGAAACTGGTGTACTGAGGGCTCGCCCGAGATTGTTGTTGAAGATTGCTTAAGTAAAGACAGCAACAAGATGTAGGGAAAGTTCTATGCACTTTATACGACGGCAAAAGGATGACGAAGATTCCTCTACATCCCGGCATCAAAATCTCCATCTCGTCAATAGGGAGCCGCGGGACGGGGCGAGGCGAGTCCGTTGACACTCGCGTGCACGCATCAGTAAGGGGGATAACATGGTGGTGCTGAAGATAGGGTAAACTGGCTGCACTAGTCTAATAGACTAATGTGCACCAAAGCAGACTGAAACACGGTGTTGTAGTCTTGGATCATCAAGGGAGATTCGAATGTCTCGGAGGTAAAAGCTCGCGGGAGATGAAGATGACGAGGGATGGAGTCGACAAAAAATGGGAAGCAAGCAAGTGAGACAAGAGAAAAGATGGCGGAGGGAACAGACAGATAATGACTGGAATTTGAGTTTCACGGCTGAATTGGGAAAGCAAGGCACATCAGAACCAAAGGAGAAAGAGCGCCTTGAGTGGGTGACGCCTTCTTGGCTGACCGGGTCGGTTGGAAGGGGGTTCGCCCTCCCAGACTCACCGCTACGGCGAGGCTGCTTCGAAGGAATCTGTCAATAGACATTCATTGGTGAACAGCCATTATTAAATCCTGCATGGCGACCAAAGCCGATAATAGATGCAGGGCCAAGGCTTCACACGCAAGATGATGGTGTTGGACTAAGCTTCCGCACTATGAACCCGCACGCATCTGTAAAAATAGGGGGGCGTTTTAGGCAGAACAAGACCATACACACCCACTGGGAAATTTCACAACCAACAGCATACAACTGAGCCACCAGCCGACCTCCTGGAGACCTGCAGAAATCTCCAGCGAGCCTTTCTAATTGAATCGAGAGTTTCTTGGCCGATAGGCATGAGCTTGCCTTCCAGAAATTTCAGAATCAGTGATTTCAAACAAACTGATCGCTCGAGATGGCAAACCTCAAGTTCACGACATATGACCTCACAATCATATCATCGAACTTTTATATATTCACATCCCGCACGCGTTCTGATTAACCGGGTCGACGGAAGTTTAAGTTGAGACCAAGTCTCAGCTGACCCCATACCTCTCCGTTTTCGACTGAAACATTTGAGAGGACATTATCTTGGGCCCCAAGGAATTTCCAAGTCCGGCTATTTCGATATAAACTTCCGGGAAACTTGGCACAGGGCCATCGAAGCTCTAATAAGCGATGGATGGTCCAAGTTGTCACTCGGGATCGGGGAGACTAGATGGTAATGCCGGATCCACCAATCTTAGCGTCATTCTCTCACCGGTCGATATCATATATACATTGAAGCCTCGCGGTATTCTGCCACACAGTAGCGTATCGGCGAGAGGCCGCACTGCAAGGTCGGCGTTTACAGGTGTCAAGTTGTGTCAGGTCGGGTCAGGTTTGGGCCAAAGGCAGGTAAAGCCTCACCCATTATGAGACCCAACCCCTCAAATTATGGTTAGTAGTGAAGATTTCCTTGGTCTGGACCAACACAATACTCTCAAGGCTGACTGATGCTGAAACTACTCTTTTTGCACTTTGTTCTATTCTTAGTGCTATTCTGCCTAAAACATCGCAGCGATCATTCTTATGTCGAGTTTTCTACACGTCTTCGGTTAGCCATAATATTCTTTGTGGGTTAGATTGTGTTTCCTGGTGCTAATATGTGACAAGTGTTTATGTGACATTGTAACTCTCCCTGCCTTTATGGAAATCAAATGGTCTGAGCCTTGCATAACGCCTTGTGTAACCTGAGGTCTGTTCACCAAATTACAAAAGGGAGGCGGTATCACAAAGCAGGGATGAATTCTGTCAACTGCCAATAGCAATTGATCTCACCTCAGGGCGTGAGTCTTGACTAATCCATGTTGCTGCCGTTGATTATCATGTAGCTTAAAAGTCGGACTCTCCAGAGGACTGAAATTACACCACCAGGTGTGACAGACTCGGACCAGGGAGAAGGGCAAAATCCCTTCTCTTTGTCATTGGTCTAAGACATGAGCCACACCCACATGGTACTGGCTTTTTCAGATGATGAATGCGTGGGAGGGTTTCTCTCGGTGAGGATTGGGGACCGGCTACATGACCCTGGCTATGACTGATATACATCATCTTGTTATTCCTTCCCTGCCGGCAAAGTCTGTTCGCTTTCGTGCCTGATTGAGTTTCGATCCAACTCTTGGTTGTCTTGACCTTTTGAAATGCGGTGATACTAACGACTTATAGCAACCGCTTCTCATATCACCTGAATACTCCCGTAGCGAACTAGATCTTGTAACATCTAACGGTCTAAATAATGACTGCGCCAAACATATTATTGACTCTTCTAGCTTCAAAGCAGCCTTTAAGTACGGGTTTCTCATCAATTACGTGGCAGATTAATTCCAATGAATCAAGTATGGATGTGTACAGGGAGGGTCTCTACATAAGCCCGGGGGGTTACAGAGTGTACTTTCAATCCCCCGGCTCAAAAGTTACCAGTTCACCATGTATCCAAATTGAAATCTGTGATAAGTTTATCATGCCTGCAACTGGAAGGCCTTGCTTGCGGGTGTTGGAATACTCGAAGACTTTGGATCAGGTTGCAAAGATAATTATCTAGGGAGTCAAGAAGTTAACTAATCCATCCCAGATTAACTCATAATGTTTCAAGTCTTGCCAAATATTCTTATCATTCCATCGAACACTGAAATTTTTGCCATCCCCTGGCCGCATTTTCAACTCCCCGGACTCTTCGCTAGAGATTGCAGGCCCGTGATCGACCAATTGAGCCTTGTATGATTCGTCTTACAGGGGTTCTGGTCTTGTTGTGTTGTTATCTGCCGCAGACTGACTCGTGCTTTGGAAGTTGATGTACGTAGCCTGATTCCATTTTACATTTAATATATGGATTGTAGGAACGAGTGTTCTGTCTTGTATAAACGCTACTCATGAGTTAGTGTCTTTATCTCGGGAACACATTCCAATTTAGACAGCAACAAAAACTCGTCTATTTTACATCGTCAAAAATGTCCACTTTTACCCGCGATTTCGTCACAAAGCAAAGACATTACAGGCCTGCCCCAGGCTCAAACCCCGTTCTTAGCGCCAGCTCTACGCTTTGCTACGGGTTACCTCTTGTATCAATGGCCCCGGTATCGGTTGGGAAATACGGAGCACCTAAGGTAGGTAGATATCGTTACAGCTCCTCGACCTCCGAAAGCCGGGAGGGGAGGTGCCCCTCGTCACCTACCAAAATGCGGGGCAGAACATTTACATTTTCGTTGACTGAGTAAGAGCTCCTGGAAATTCTTTTGCTTCCAACGAGAATCTCTCTATTACAACACCACAGATCAATTCATCGTCAACAATGCCTCAATCCGCCCTCCTCCTCGGTTCCGGCTTCGTTGCCACTCCTGCCGTCGAAGTCCTCGCCAAGGCTGGCGTTCACGTTACTGTTGCTTGCCGTACTCTCGCCTCGGCCAAGAACCTCGCTGGAACTTTCGACAACACCAACGCCATTAGCCTCGACGTCAACGATTCCGCTGCTCTCGAGGAGGCTGTTGCTAAGCACGACATCACCATCTCTCTGATTCCCTACACATACCACGTTGCCGTCATCAAGGCCGCTATCAAGGCCAAGAAGAATGTCGTCACTACCTCTTACGTCTCTCCTGCTATGGAGGAGCTTCACGAGGAGGCCAAGGCTGCCGGTATCACAGTCCTGAATGAGATTGGTGTAAGTAATATCGCCCTGTCTTCCCATTCTAGCTTGCTGACTTATCTCAGGTTGACCCTGGGTATGCTTCTCGACCATCTACGACTCTAACCGTTCGCTAACACATATAAGTGTCGATCACCTTTACGCCGTCGACTTCATCGACCGCATCCAGCAGGAGGGTGGCAAGATCAAGTCCTTCAAGAGCTTCTGCGGTGGTCTCCCCGCCCCTGAGAGTGTGTTTCCAAACTCAATGGCCAATGATCACAGCTAACCAACTCTCAGACTCCAACAACCCCCTAGGTACTCCAGATCCCGATCATGACTCACGCCACCGCCACTAACTACGATTAGGCTACAAGTTCAGCTGGAGCAGTCGAGGTGTCCTTCTGGCCCTCAAGAACAACGCCAAATACTACGAGGACAACAAGCTGGTTGACATCACCGGTGTGGATCTCATGGGCACTGCTAAGCCTTACCACACCGGCTACTTGGGTTACAACTTTGTTGCCTATGGAAACCGCGACAGCACTGGTTACCGCCAGCGGTAGGTTAGAGAGAAATACTTTGAGTGGCAGTGACTGACCTCCACAGCTACCGCATTCCTGATGCCGAGACCGTCGTCCGAGGAACCATTCGCTATAATGGTTTCCCCCAGTTCGTCAAGGCTCTCGTCGACATTGGCTTCCTCAGTGTCGATGAGCAAGACTTCTTCAAGCAGGCTATTCCTTGGAAGGAGGCCCTCCAGAAGTTCATCGGTGCTAGCTCATCAAGCGAGGAGGATCTGATCAAGGCTGTTCTCTCAAAGACCTCTATCAGCGACGAGTCTGTCAAGAGCCAAGTGCTAGCTGGTCTCAAGTGGAGTAAGTCTAAAGTGCTGACGGTCGGTTTTGAGCGTATACTGATAAAATGTTACAGTTGGTGTCTTCTCTGATGCCAAGACCACCCCTCGTGGAACAGCCCTCGACACCCTGTGCGCCACTCTTGAGCAGAAGATGGCCTATGAGGAGGGCGAGCGCGACCTTGTGGTGAGTACCAACAGGGAGCTTGACTTAAACATGGGGTTCCACTCTGACTTTTATCCAGTTCCTTCAACACACTTTCGAGGTCGTCAACAAGGATGGCAGCCAGAACACCTGGACTTCCACCCTTATCGAGTATGGTGCCCCTGAGGGTTCCGGTGGCTACTCCGCCATGTCCAAGCTCGTCGGTGTTCCTTGTGGTGTTGGTATGTTCTCCCTGCCAGATTGAGTAATTGATTTTATGCATACTGACCAATCCCGTAGCTACCAAGATGGTTCTCGACGGTACTATCACAGATAAGGGTGTTGTCGCCCCTGTGTACCCTAGCCTTGCCAGAACGTTGATGAAGCAGCTCAAGGCAGACCATGGGTGAGTTATACAATTACATTCATTGCGGTAATTTTACTAACTGAGTGTAGTATCGAGTGCAAGGAAAAGATCATTGCTTAAGTGAACATCCCGACGTCTAAAGGCATGCTCGCCATATGAGAAAATGTACAATCCTGTGAGTCGGCCACAGAACGCATATTGTACCACGACACCAAAATAGAAGTAAAATGAAGAAACAGAGTTTCGATAGTCCCCATTTGATGTGTTGCTCCCGATGTCTTGCTGATGTGATATTATATTAAGCCAAAGCTGTATCTAACCCCTATTACCCCTTTTCTATACGAAGAGTATTACAAGAACAAAAAGCCACCTCTAACTCCCCTATAATGGTAATATCCTCCATCCCCAAGTCTATAAGAGAGTGCAGGCAAAGGAAATCACAACGAGAGCCAGGATGCCGCTTTCACCCCGAGCCTTGACGGCCGAGTTGACGATGACAGGAGGCTGGCCTCCGTGATGCCCGTCGCCGCCACTGGATCCGCTAGATCCACCGCCGTTACCTCCATTCCCGCCGTTACCTCCATTCCCGCCGTTACCTCCATTCCCGCCGTTACCTCCGTTTCCGCCATTGCCTCCGGAGCCTCCAGCTCCTCCAGAGCCCCCGCTGCCGCCGCTACCACCATTGCCTCCGTTTCCAGCAGTGCCTCCGGTACCTCCGTTCCCTCCATTGCCTCCGTTACCTCCGTTGCCTCCACTCCCTCCATTTCCACCGGGGACTGGAACTGGAACAGGCTTGGGACCTTGATTGCAGCCTCCAGGAGGACAAGTCGGAGCAGTCCAGTTACCAGTACCGTTGTAAGTACATCCACGACACGGCTGAACGACAGGCTTGAGTTGACATCTGCCATTGGGGCATTTGTTACGATAAGGGCAGTTGACAATATTGGGTGGGCATTCGTGCCAGACGTCACCTGGCTTAGGGTTTGGGCTGGGGTTGGGAATGGGCATGCCAGTTTGGACGGGCCGAGTAGGTGCAGGAGTGGGAGTAACACCTGGAAAGGCCTCATATACGATCTGGGCATTGTTTCTCTTGTACAGGTCGTAGATGGGCCATCCCTGGATCGTGGCTCCTCCACAGGTTCCCTTGGACCTGTCGGCTGGATCACACCATTGATTGCAGAGAGCGTTATCAACCTTTGCAACGCGGTAGGCGATGGGCCCTGGGGAGAGATCAAGACGGTCACAGACACAGCTGTTTCCACGGAAGCCGATAATGTTGCCGTTTGATGAACATGATGAAGTACAGCCGGCTTGACCCAGATCGAACTGACGAGGAAAGGTGCCGGGCCTAATAGCAACGCATCCAAGATGTTGGAACGCCCCATCTTTTGTCAGAGCAGGATCAGCAGTTGATTGCGCGAAAACGCCAGCAGCAAAGATGCAAGCAAAGAAGAGTGGTAGAATCATGTTGCAACAAAGAAAAGTAAAGAATGACTAGGAACACACAAGGAGTAAGTGAGTGACTGGTTGAGTAAGACGATTCGAAGTCAGAAAGAGATGGCAGAGAGAGATATTTATCCTTGATCCAGGCCCAGGCCCTTGAGTTTGCAGTGGTCATGATTCTCTTGGCTATTCGTGAACAGAATATCTGAGATGAATATCTGAGACAAGGCTCCGAAACCATCCATCTCGGGCAATTTTTGCAGTTTCCAACGCGCCGTTTTAGGCTCCGGGCGATGTGGCATGCCGCTTTCAGGCTTGTCTTGGGTTTGAGACATCCAGGACGAGGGCTTATTAGCAGAACAGAAAATGTCTTGGCTGATCGGGATGGTCAACCACGTCAGGAATGGCCATGTTTCACCTCACATGCTCGTTTTCGATGTCTGAATCAGGCAATGAGTTAGCAGCAACTCTGAGATGGTTCTGTTCTCACCAAAGATACCCTATAATGATATACTGGAAGAAATGAGGTTCCTCTTGTTCAAGCCGCTGAGATATATCATTACCCAGTACGAGATCTAGATATATATTATTAGACTATGGGCTCGAATATACTAACATCGGATGTAGTTCCAGATATTTCTCATACTTGTCTCACAGTCTCTCTATAGCTAGAAGGTCCAAATCTCTCCACGGCTCTCAAGCGCCACATTCTAAGAATCTATGGATTCGCAGCTCATCATGGACCTTTATCACATTCCATGATCCATTGTCAACTTCATTACACTATACATTCATAGTCGACCGTGCAGACGTAACTTATATACTCCTGCAAATGGTGAAAATTTCCTCCTTATATGGAAGCCAAGTCAGGCGAGATCAACCTCCATCCTCAATCTCACATTAGCTTATCGAGTCACATTTTCGAACAGCAAGCAATATCAAGATCGCTGGGATAGAATTGATCAAGAGCTATTTTTAAGAACAAGTAAAATCAACCTCCACCGCCACTTCCCGCCAAACCGGTCGCCCCTTTTAGTTTTAATGTGATCCTGTGCTTCCTCAAAGCTGCATCCGCTAGCTTGTACACCAGAAATCAAGATCGCTCGCATTGTCCATGCCCTTCCCACCGCCCTAGCGATCAACTCTCAACTTTCATCACCCCATCACCTCTGCAATTCCATCACCATCCACGGTCGTATCCATGGTATCCTCCATGACAGATTAGATGTACCACATAGTGCCACGGAAAAAGTCTCTCTGGCGCTGCTCACCCTCCTGAGGCGTCTGGCTAGTTGCACCACCAAGGCGGATCAATGGGGGTGCTTCAACGTTCCTGTTAGGAAGGTTGGTGGAGGTACCATGCGCCTGCTTCTCTGCAGCAATCTCGTGGCCCTTGGGACCGATTCGGAAACCATCACTAGAGTTGACGTTCTCATGGGCGCGAGCTCGGTTACTAGCGAGATGCGCGTAGTAGACAGCCGGATGGAGCGAAACAGGGGTGGTCGAGCGTGCGTACGAGTAGCACTGCTGGTAAATCATCTTCTGTAGATCATTCACCGGCATGTTCATCTCATCCAGGATGATATGGTAGTGAACCGGTCGAGCAGTCCCCTGGATAGCGACGTGTGAGTTGAGGTAAAAGTCAAACATAAACGGATGCGTGACTTCTCGTTCAACCAAAGTACCGGGCAAAGGATTTCCATTCTTATCGCCTCTCTGAGGGAAGAAACGAATGTGGTGACGCTTGGTGGCCACAATCACAGTGAACTTTGGCATCTGTCCAGCAGGAAGGATCGTGCGAAGATATTTTTTGATCTCTTCGACTTCCTGGTCCAACACGTACGCAAATTGTCCTTCTCCTACACCGTCTCGGAAATAGATTAGGTGTTTAGGAACCAGTCCTTGGTGGTTGGCTCTCCAACGAGGGATGAGCTCTCCGAACATGAATCGAATGTTCGAGGGGGTCAACATCTCGACACGGTATCCGTTGGTCTCAGCAACTGCGGCGTAACGAGTGGCATCCTTGTCCACAGACATAGTCATCGAGGCGGTGGATGGGGTTACGCCTCCAGGAGCGGCATGGGATACATCAACACCTACAATCATGGTAGGGCGGGAGTCGGGGAAAAATGTAGGGGTTTTCCACAAAGGAGGAGTGCAGGAAGTAGCACCACCCAGCTTGGCGTTCACCTTCATGCAAACATTCGAATGGTATTGGCCATTGTTCTTCTGCACGTGGTTGCCGAGGACGACCTGGGTAAGAATACCAAATCTGCAATCCGCGGACTTCTTGAGGCGCTCATAAGTTCCGCTGTTCTTCTTGGAGACGATAACAAACAATAGTTGAGTGTATCCCCGTTGCTTCGTGATCCGCTCATGAGCATGAGCAATGGCTTTCGCAGCATCATAGCGTAGATTACCAGGTATATCCAAAAGAACAGGGTCGGCGAGCACTTTGCCTCCGTGGCCGATGTAGGTGCTTTTGAAGGTACTGGCAAAAGCCTGCATAACGGCTTGCGGAAGGGTCATCTCCAGGGCCATAAAGCCCCAGCTCTGGAGAGGCGCGACATTCTGCTTCCAGAACTTCTTGCCTCGCAAGTCCCAGCGACCAGCAAATCTGGGTTCGGCTGTACCTTGTCCAAACCTGACGATTGGGGCACTCAGAATGCGTGCCTCGGTCTTTGCAAACTGCGAATCGATGTTGACGCCATACTCCTTCAGGAACGGATCTTGACCGATCTGCAGAGCAGCAGCTCCAGTATGAATGTCTCGCTTGCGAATAGCTGGGCGGGTGACAGCAATTCTGATCATGGCGGCTGTCTGGTCGGGGTTAAGCTTGAATGGGTATCGCTGCATGTCCTCAACGAAGGCAAGCTCCATAGGAATCATGCCGCCTTTTCCAGCATCAATCAGTGGAAGATGAGATAGTCGCAGGGTCACGTTGTACTCCTTCTTGTAGTACTCATACACCGAGATGTCTTTCCCATCCTTTTCAAAGGTCCAGGTCCTGGCCGATGCGCCCGCTTCGCCGAATTTCTCATTGAAAGCAAAGTCTTGGATGGTATACAGTTTGTCCTCGTTTTTTCGGCCCCTATGCTTGACCTTGAACTTGAGCCGACGCATCTTTCGGAGCTGCTTGAAAGCATCCGAGGAGGCCCAGCGTCCTGTTTTGCGTTCCTGGACAGGCTTGAGCAACTCGTGGAGAGTTCCAGGTGTTTGTCCTCCAAACTTCGTATCCAGAGTGGCGAGGAAGTTGCAAGCCATCTTGTCCATCGGTTGGTTGCCGATCCAGAAACAAGTGTTGGCAACATCAATGTTGTAGCCAAGGCCAACACCCTTCTGCTTGATGTTGTCACTCATGCGGATGGAGGCATATGTGCCCTTGTGAACCTCAACAATAGCTCCATCGTGAAGAGGGGCTCCAGGCTGACCAGTCTTGTAAAAGTTTCGCTTGATGGCCAGGAGGTTCTTGGAAGGCCACTGTCGCACAAGATGATCCATAAAGTTCAGCGCCTCTTGAACGCTGTTGTTGAATGAAATCTTGTGTTCAAGGTAACCTTGGAGAGCAGCAACTTGGATCTCGGTGGTCTTTCGAATTGTGACCAGAAACTTGCCGCCTTCGCGAGCTCTCCCACCAGCAGGTCGTCTGCCCTCGTCAAGGTCGACAGTGAAGCGAG